AACTCAAAGAGTTAACGCAGAGAGAAAAGCCACGAAGGTCATCGCGAGATCGCTCGCGTGAAAGAAACCGGTCAACTTCTAGACGACGCACAACTCCCGCGATATGTTGGTATCATCAAATGTTCGGCTACAGAGCTAGAAAGTGCCTGCAACCTTGTAGATTTAACAGGGCTAGTAACCGATACCCACGAGTATCAATGGCAACGGCATCAACGCACATAATGCCTGAAAATAGTCGCCTCTTTTGTATACAAGACCGAACCACTGGCCCACAATTCTCGGTTGACACTGGAGCGGAAATTAGCGTAGTACCTCCATTTAACGAGGAAAGAAAAAACATTAATCCGTCATTAGTGCTAAGAGCAGCAAACAAATCAGATATTAAGACATATGGCAAACGGAAATTGTCCCTAGATTTTGAACGTGGCGCTTCATACCGCTGGAACTTTGTCATAGCAAATGTATCGATGCCCATAATAGGCATAGATTTCTTATGTAACTTTGACCTGCTAGTAGACTCTCGACGACACAGACTTATAAACGGCAGTCAAACCACTTCGATAACAGGAACACTTACGAAAGCCGTTTCAATGAACCTTGTGATAGATAAAAGTCGTGATGATCCATATAAATTGTTGTTAAAGGAGTTCCCTGAACTCGTAAAGTAACATACAATGAAGCGGATCTCAAACATTCTATTCAGCATCACATCGTAACGAATGGTCCACCAATCAATGCAAGACCAAGAAGGCTAGATCCCAAAAAACTAGCTATCGCAAAACAGGAATTCGACAAGCTAATGAGGCTAGGCATTATAAGGCCATCGAGCAGCCTGTGGGCATCCCCGCTACATATGGCCCCGAAAAAGAATGGAGAGGGTAGGCCATGTGGAGATTACAGAGCACTGAACAAATAAACAGTAGCTGAGAGATACCCTATACCGCACATTCATGATTTCACCTACAGTATAGAGGGCACTACTATCTTCTCGAAGATCGACTTAGTCAGTGCATACTACCACATCCCTGTTGCCCCACAAGACATACCGAAGACAGCAGTAACAACCCTATTTGGGCTATATGAATTCCCGAGTATGCCTTTTGGACTGACTAACGCGGCACAAACCTTTCAACGGTTTATCGACCAGGTCATTAGAGGTTTACCTGGGGTATACGCGTATATCGACGATCTATTAGTTGCTAGCACCACTAAAGATGAGCATATACAACAACTACGGCAATTATTTATACGACTCAGAGAACATGGTATTTCTATAAACATTGAGAAGTGTGAATTCGGAAACGAATCTTTACAGTTCCTAGGTCACAAAATAACTTTTCAAGGCATCACACCAATAGCAACAGAAGTCGACGCCATCAGAAATTATCCGCTACCCGACTCGTGGAAAAAGTTACGCCGATTTCTCGGGTTAATAAATTATTACAGACGATTTATCCCGAATTGTGCGTCAGTATTGCAACCATTAACAGATGCATTACGCGGAAACGCACGGACATTCAAATTATCACCAGACGCAATTCAAGCGTTCGAGCACGCTAAAAAAGCGCTAAATAAAGAAGTGACATCAACTAGACGAAAGAGCGAAACACCGTGAGCTATCATGACGGATGCATCAGACGTAGCGGTAGGAGCCGTTTTACAACAATTAGTAAATGGCATATGGGAACCGCTCTCATTTTTTTCGAAAAAACTGAATCCGACACAAACAAGATATAGTACTTTCGGAAGAGAACTCCTAGCGATTTACTTAGCAATAAAACATTTCCGACATATGATTGAGGGTACCATTTTCGCAGTATATACAGACCATAAACCCCTCACAAAAGCATTAAACGCCAAACAGGACAACTACTCGCCGAGGGAAATCTGACAACTAGAATTTATTTCTGTTGGGATACTCAGAAAAATATCCCAAAAACAGTTATCCGGTTAAGTTTAACGCTACCCTTGAACGTTAAATGGTGTCATTTCCCTATTGATCGTTTCCCTACTGATCAATATTTATTTCGCGTGTCATTTTCCTATTGGTCAGTATTATTTAACGTGTCATCTTTCTGTTGGTCAATATTTATAGTAATCCTAACTGTATAAATATGCATTTGTTTGTAAATCATTATTCTGCTGCTCCTGACCCCATAAACGATTTTTCATTTACGGTTCGTGTTCTGATATATTGAAGATTGGGAACAGTATTGGAGTCGAACTGAGATATCTGAAGCTAGTCAATCGGTAGAATTTAGAGTAGCCAACTCGCGATTCACAATAATTTCCCAATTCACGTCTAACATACAGTATATCAAAGGCAATAGTAACGAAGTGGCAGACACGTTATCCTGAACGATGGTCAACGCTCTCATCCAGTCTGAAATCGATTATCACAAGTTAGCAGCATTACAAAATATCGACGTCGAGTTAAACAGACTTAAGTCTGCCAACACAACCTCGTTAGTTCTCAAAGAAACTCCATTGGAAGAAGTAAGCATTACATGCGATATTTCTACAGGTCAACCAAGACCATTTATTCCAAAGCCGCTAAGGCGAAACATTTTCGAAGCTATGCACAATATTTTGCATCCCGGAATAAAGGCCACCATCAAACTAATCAGCGAACGTTTCGTATGGCCAAGTATGAATCGGGATATTCGTAATCGAACGCAAGCGTTTATAAAATGCCAGAGAGTTAAGATACATCGCCACACCAGTTCCGCAGTAGGTCATTTCCGTCATCCCGACAGCAGATTCGAGCACATACATATCGATATTATAGGACCACTGTCGATTTCTAATGGCTTCAGTTACATTTTCACTTGCATTAGTAGATTCACGCGATGGCCTGTAGCAGTGCCCATAAAAGATAATACAGCCGAAACTATCGCAAAAACCTTATTAGAGCATTGGATTTCCTATTATGGCGTACCTACTAATATTACAACCGATAGAGGAGCTCAATTCGAGAGCCGCCTCTTCCAACAACTCACAGAACTCCTCGGAATCAAACGAATTCACACAACATCCTACCATCCGATGTCGAATGGTATGGTAAAGAGATTACATCAGCAACTTAAAGCTTCTCTTACAGCTGTCACCAGAAATAATGATTGGGCCAGCAAGCTACCGTTAGTCATGTTGAGCTTAAGATCAACAATCAAACAAGATATAGAATGCTGCCCAGCAGAATTGGTTTATGGAACCACACTACGTCTGCCAGGATAGTTTTTCACCGCAGCTTAAAGCGTTCCAACTGATATAGCCGACTATGTACAGCGTCTAAAGCAGCATATGAGTAGTCTAAGGATAACGCTTCCGAGACAACATCAACGCCGTGTGTACATACCCAAACAACTAAGTGACAGTACCCATGTTTTTATCAGAAGGGATAATATGCAACGTCCCTTACAACCGGCCTACGATGGTCCATTTAAAGTGATTAGAAGAGACGATAAAACTATTACGGTAGACAAAGCTGGAAAAACGGATGTAATTAGCATCGACCAAGTCAAACCAGCTTTCACCGAAGCCTACGATCAGCCAGTACATACAGATACTGCGGAAACCGTTGAATCATCGAAACGTCAGTTCCAATCATCAACGACATCGACGAACACAAACAAAGAGAATCCAGTAACGACAAGGTCTGGTCGAACAGTAAGATGGCCCCAACATTATGTCGCTGCAATCTTCTATTAATAATCTTCTACTATTTTAAATATTAATTATAACTTCCACTTCATTGTTTACACACGCATTACCAATTTCATGTTATACGCTATAAAACTCAACGTATCTTATGTACCCCTACACTTACACGTATAATTTTTGTTTAAAATGTAAAGCAATACCGCATTCCTTCTACTTATTGCTATTAATTTATATAACCTCACGGACGGGCACAAACCAAATGTACAGCACACACTAACTTCATCTTCATTTTGTACAAACCATATTTTCTTCAAACGATTGTAACTACCCTATTCAGTTTACCATTTTTTTGTGCAAACACAGACATTTTTCCATATATCTTTGTTTGCAGGGGGGAGCTATTATAGCGGCTCACGTGCAATTGAGTTTAGTTCAGTCAAGGTCTTTTGTTGACCTATTTAATGGACAAAGTCGTCCATCCTATAACAACTTGTACTGTTATTATTATTGTGCTTGTATGAAATACATATGCTTGAACATTGTTTGGCACCTACGCATGTATTCATTCTGCTAGCATCATTATTAACTGCTTAATCTACTCGCTGACTCATCCATTTTCCTATATATATATATATATATATATATATATACATTTGCACACAGTCACTACTACTACTGCTACTGCTACAATCGTAGTTCACCTGCTCATTCATTTCGCCTCTCTGCTGTCTGGTCCGAATTATCTGCTAAATAAACTGTAGTAGCTGCTTCCTTTTGACTTCTGATCTCAAACACCGTTGAAGATTGTACGATAACGGTTCGAGGGTGTTTAGTTATCGAAGCACAGCCACTACACATGGTTTTCAATGGTGGTCTAGCTTTAACTGACTCATGATTTCAACCTGTGAAATTTCTAAAACTCTCCACAAAACCCATTCTGATAATAATCAACTGCTCACTAGTGATTGACTTCAGGAAAAACTCCTGGAGTTCCAGTGAGAAGCCGTTACCAGTGGAGTTCAACCGGTCTGTTGTGAGATAACAACTCACTGAAGACAATGGTGTACGGTGGCACAACTTCGTGGATTGGTTGAAGTAAGACATTAACACCGTTGGATGCCAGCTCAGTGGTCTAGTGGTTAAGTGCTCGCGCGCGAAGCCAGTAGGTCCTGGGTTCGAGCCCCGCGTCGTGCGGGATCGTGATGCGCACTGCTGAGGAGTTCCGTACCAGGACGAAACGGCCATCCAGTGCTTCCAGGTTTTCAATGGTGGTCTAGCTTCAACTGACTCATGATTTCAACCTGTGAAATATCAGTTCCATAAAAGCTTGTTGTTGTCAGATGTGCTCATCAATCAGTTGTAACAATGATCAAAATACCGCAGAATTGTCAGCGAATCGTAGTGAAAACTTTACTTCAAGACGTTCTGTTAATCGATCTACAGCTTTGTCAGACGACATGAGTAAGTTGTAATAAATGTTCTTACTTAAAATTTTCTTGTTAATATTCTAAATTGTACTACATATTCATTTTAGCATATTGTCATTTACTAATCGAATAATTATGACATAGATACAGATATTAAATACCTCTAGTTGAAAGTCGAGTGTTTCATTGTTTAGGTTCAAGTAAATATTTAGAATACATTACCTTTATACATATTTATGAAGTTTGAGCAACATATTAAAGTATATGATGGAAATCGTTTGTGCACATCACAACATTACGCGAAAAAAGACAACCGAATAGCCTTACCTTTGAGAACTTCCATAAGTGTTTTCGACAATGAAAATAGGGTTAATGGACTGTTGGGGACGATAGATCCCCAAACTCATATTTTTAAATTTATCTTATCGATCATCTTATTGATTAAATGTTAGATATTTTTATTGACTATTCTGGTCCGTTGTCCCCAACTCTGCTAACTCGATCAAGAAGTCTGTGTAAGGTGTAGAAAGTGTATTCGAGTAAGACGCATCAATAATCGCATTCAAGCAATAACGAAACATAACAAATTGGCGACGGTGGTTTTTGAATTATGGACCCTGCCAAACTTGAACTGTTACTTGAGCCATAACAATTGGCGACGGGGTAAAAAAAATACAATCCAAAGTCATTCTGTAATTGGACAGAATCCAGTCTAATTATTCAATCAATCAGTATCCAGTTTGTCATCAGTGTCCCTGAACGACATTGGTCATTATTCATACAGTAATCTTCATTGCTGGTGCTGATCCAAAAAAATGACACTCCCTTCCGATCGATTGCAGCTGCTCTTTGAACGACATTTGGAGTTATTAGTCAAATTCCGCACGCAGCTGCTAAGTCAGTCATGCTATGAAGATGCGACGGAAGTGGATGGATTGATATCTGAGTTACACAGTGAGCTGGAAAATGACAGCAGCCTCCATGAATCCTCGATTAACTGTACTTCAAACGGAACGGCAGTCATCCATGATGCGCCCAGTGGTCCAGTCCTCTCCATTCCAGAAACATGCCCGGTAATGGACTCAAACTCCGTTATCCCCAAAACAGCATGTGCAGACGGTGACTTATCCAGCTCACAAACACACTCCCTGGCAAATGCTCATAGAATTGTCGCAATAACCACCCATGAAACAGAAAACAAATCGATCAGTACACTGAATACAACTTCTTCAAATGGTTCTCATCAGTCTGCGACAGATGTTTTTGACAAATCTTATTATCAAGATTCTCTTTTACCAGAAAATATGTCAGATGCATCAAATGATGATCAAAAACTGAATACAATTTTGATAGATGCTAATTACATTGATGATCGATTATCTACAAACAAGATTCCAAATAAATTTGGTCACAATATTTCAGAAGAATTAAACTTCGAACACCTCATATCAAGTGTCGTTCAGCCTCAAGACTTAGTCACTTTCAGTCAATTCTCTGTTCAGTGCGATAAATATGTCTTAAATAAATTCAAGTTAATTATAACGTGGGCATATGAGGATCCAACACTGTTTCGTGGGGGAGGATGGACCTGGAAAACTTAAAATCCGGATATCAACTCCGGATTTTCTAAAAAGGGGAGGAGTGTTGGGGACGATAGATCCCCAAACTCATATTTTAAAATTTATCTTATCGATCATCTTATTGATTAAATGTTAGATATTTTTATTGGGGTCAATTGGTGAACTAATCGATTAAATGTTTGAATAGCAGTCAATTGATGAACTATCGATTACATGCGCAAATAAGTCAATTAATGAACTCATTGATTAATGTTTAAAAAAATTTCCTATGACAATATCGATTGTAAATAATTGTATAAATACGCTTGACTTGTATGCTTGATCTGATCTGCCTGCCTGACTTGTTATCTGCTGTTTGTCTGTAGAATACACTTTCTACACCTTACCCAGACTTTTTGATCGAGTTAGCAGAGTTGGGGACAACGGACCAGAATAGACTATCGAGATTCTGAATCCTTGATCCGATCGATAAGTCACTGTCATATAATCGGCTGTCTGCCTTGAGCCATAACATGGACTGCCACAGATAGGTAGTATTTGGGAATAGATAAGTTTAAATAAAACCTGAATTAAATGATCAAAACTAATTTACAGTATTTGCATTTAATTCCAAGACCAAAAACCTTTGGTATTAGTTATGAACTGAACTACATCGACTTTTAGAATAACATTAACATAATAAAATAAGACGATACTTGTGTATCCTTGATGTTATTTCATCACTGAAACAAACATCCAACCAAATAGTTAATTGAGATGGTATTTAAATTACTTTAAAAAGGTACTCCCGATTTTCTGCTTTGCTGAATGTTCATATTTCCATGGGTTGCTGTGAAATGATTATATATATATATATATATATATATATATATATATATATATATATATATATATAATGTTTTTCCTACCGTTTCTCTAAAAACGCTTTACAGCCAACTTAATTTCAAGTTTTATCTATTTCGATGTTTTAGCAGACCATGAAGTCACTACCAATATATGCTTAGATGCTTCTGGAAATCAATGCAAACCGTGATCAAGTGGTGACTCATTGAATGCATTAACAAATACAGCTAATAGTAGTACTGAAATTAATATTTACAGTAAAGCTTTCTGTATAAAGCAACCAGATCATATGCCTAGTTCATCATTTACATGTACAGCATTGTCATCAACTGTAACAGTTTAGAGTTAACGGCGTTAGAGAATATATTCGAAACTTTTTTCGGCTACATTTTACTGTTTCTTGTTCTACATGTAACGCTCCAATTTTTATATGCACTACTTCATTTAGGATTCCGATTTCTTGATAACTTTCTTTCTACTATTCGTTAAGCGAGTGTACTTCAATTTGTCGTAACACTTTCTTGTGGTCTGTTGGTAGTTTGTTTGTACGTCAGTAGATCCATGTAAGTCTGAATAATTTGTACTGCTACTGCTACTTTAAAAAATAATGTAAGTTCAAAAATAATAGTTATCATCATTCATGTTACTGTATGTAGTTAGGTATATACTGTTGCTCTTCATTATTGTCATATTATCTTTTGTTTCCCTTGATGAACCTGTACTCACGTTTAGTATATTTTCCTGATTTACTTCCCCACCCATTTACATTACATTTGTATTTTCATCCTGTGTATGAAGGATGTTTTCCAATTAAATGTTCCTGTCTTCTACTGTAGTGATAAAACTATGGTTGAAATGCTGTTAATAACATGTATGAAATATAAATTATGTTACAACACTTGTCTAGAATTTGTTACGCCATCTTTAAAGACAAATCTGATCAGCGCTCCGGCAGAGATAGAATTAAATACAGTTCAACTGACATGCGAATTCCTATCTATTACACGAGACGTGATTCTAAAACAATAAGCTCCAACCTGAGTTACCAAGTTTAATCGAATGTTTACAACTAACTAGCTAATGTTAACTAGGGTTAGGAACAAGAGGCATAGGCGACTGCGTTTAAAATTCCAGGTGGTCTGTGTAAAACTGCTTTAAAATCCAATAGGCAGATGAATTAAATGTTGAAAACGAGGTCAAGAATATTCACTTATTATTAATTACAACGCTGTATGCTAACACACATCACTTAATCACGAACAAACCATGGGATTTTTCGTATTGAATCAGTAATAGCAAGACTACTAACGATGATAACTACCAAATGGTTAACACCCCCTGGAATAATCAACTTTGAGGATAGTACACCGACCTCAAACCTTGAACATTCGGATCATACTTCATATGAATTCTCTGAATGGACTTTTCCTTATCGATCCTTATATCATAAAGATATTCGTAGATCAACCTTAGATATTGTCTGGCTTGTTGCCGCGGAGATTGAGTTATGAAACCTAGGCTAAACACCTGCATATCTTGACAATACACATACCATTCAATCAGACCCAAGAAACGAATTCCCATGTAATCTTTTGTTATGACATCCTAGGGCAACATAAATGCGATTTGTTGATTTCCATGAGTGTTTATGAACACCGTGACTGGTAAGAGGTACCCAGCTTTTATACGTACGCTGACAGGATTGCCATCTTCTGGTTAACATCCAAAGCTAAAACTCGCTTTCTAGGAAGCCAATGCAATGTGACTGCGGGAAATCTGTCCGATCAAATGGACAGTTTCAGAATACTTCTTGCTTGTGCAGCCCAACCCTTCGTAAGAACTGTAGCTACCACGGCTCATCTTTCTTTATCCGAATACATTTCTAGCTTTGGACAATCCTGTAACAAGTAGCAGGGACTCAGTGCACACAGCAAAACTAACTCTGTACATTATCTCGAAAAATCGACTATCAACTTTTCAGCAGCATTTGTCCATAGAACATGAATCGTTCGTTGCGCACATACAGCAGATATTTTGATCGGCGATAAGTGCAGCCTACTGCCAGACGTTTTATTATTGGTACTGACCCAAAGATACCATTATATAAACATCATATAAAGTCATCAGTTAGTAGTAATACAATACAACCTTCAATTTATTTGAAAAATAGCCAATCAGTCAGTCTACAGGGATAAAATGGTGATCAAACAGCAGTCTATTCATGGATCCAAGGGTCAACGGCTTGTTTATATTGACATAGTTCTTGTGGAGTAAACCATAAGTTGATTTCCCTGTTAGCACTTTCAGTTGAGTCTGATCCGTGGACAACATTTCTTCCTACATCTTGGCAGTAGTCTCCCCTTATTGATCCAGGACAACTTGCTTCAGGTTTAGTAGCACCTAACATTGTACGTCCGTTCTCAATAACCTAAAGTAAAAAAACATAGTGGAAAATGCATGTGCAGTAATACGCAACGAAGAAATTATAAGTGTTAAAGGTTGGAAACTTTCTCCATTGAATCAAAAACATAGTAAATATGATCGACAGTGAGGGGATATTAGGCAAACACTGAAATGACTGTGGGACTTGTTCACATAGAGTGAGGTTTAATGAGTTAGTTGAGTCATACTTCTGATACTGTTTGCTTAATGTAGCAGTCCTGATGACGAAACTCATAGGATTAACGGTTTAGTGATCTTCTCACATTGAAGTTAAGAACGGCTTCTATATTTAGCTTTTATTCTGTCGGTATAAATCGTCTTAGATGTATCACTACAAAATCTTAAAGTTGTTACATGACAAATGAACAGAAAAAGAAGGACGGTTGGTGCTAACATAAAACTTAAACTTGATTTTAACGGCCTGTCGCAGCCATTGAGTTGCATAAAAAGCACTTTGGCTTATTACGGTATTGCATTGGGCATACATGTTCAGTTGAAATTCGTCGTGAACACTGGGAAACTGAAGGAGCGGAAAGTGGCAATATTTGCAAGTTTTTATCATATAGACCACTGATTCACCTCAACGTTTTTTAATAGTCCATATGCACGCTCATAGCTCCAACTCACATGTATGGACAGATGTAACAGTAACAGTACGCAATATCATTAAAAATAAGACTTCTATGATAATTAAAAGTTTATTCCTTCGGATTCGATTTTATAAATATGTTTTACTTCGCTGCACAACAATCTAGGTGATCTACGTTTTGAGACCATTCACACGGATCTGGGTCTTGAGCAGTCTGATCTCAGAAGGATATTTATCGTGCGAATTTCATCCCTGCGTAATGAAATATATTTTGCCTCAAAAGAAAACTAAGGACACCTGTAGTTGAAACAAAGCACACTAGGAAAATTTCGTACATGTCAAAGCTTTTGTTTGAGTTGGCAAAACTTTCCAGTTCATATACAGATGATCAAATTACAAAGCCTGAATTGTGTTATGGGCCTTCAAACTAAATTGAGGAGTGAGAACAAGAAAAAATATGGCCATATTTTTGCCTCTTCGTCGTATTTGCCTACGCAACCATTGACTGCAATTCTAAAAGGATGTATAAAATAAAGCTTCCTGCCCTATTAGAAAAAACTAAACGCTTGGCTGCAGCTATTGTAGTAAGAGACTTCAGCGATCAAGTTGGTAGTTTAAACCAGAGCGATAGACAATCAGGTGCGTATTAGTGTTCAGGTTACATGAACAGACAATGGCAACTAGCAGTCTTAATTATGCTAAGACAGCTACTGGTGCACAGCAAGCACCAACTTCAAGTATAGGGACAGTGTTTGAAAAGGCAACCCCCACAACCGACAAATTGATCTTATACCCATCAGTGATCACTCAAGGGACCCGACATAAGACCTTCGGTTATTTCGGAGGACATGTCTATACTGAACACCATCTAACATGATGACGCCGAAGTGATGCCAACTCAGATGCGGGTCGACATTATTTACAGTCACGATATGGACGAGTGATTAGAATAAAATTGTTAAGGCTCAAAAGGCTCTATTGAACTGACAAATACTCGGAAAGCCACTACGTAAGGCTACAAACACAATAGGGTAACCAAGTGGTGGCAACTCGAACTGATGTACGTACGTACGAAGTTCTACGTTGTTACTGACTGGCTGACCGACGACCACTCATTGTTTCAGCTTAGAACAAAAATCCTTTTATGGTAACTACAGAAGAATCGTTCTGACATAGATTTTAAAACTTGACGATCACCCAAGGCTTTAATAGGTCTCATGAAGAGCAAATCTGGGAAAACCGGGCTGGTCTCAGACCTGGATGTGTGGGTGAAATATTCGCAATTTGCCACGTCCATATACAGACATACCTATGGACTCACAACCACGGTTGTACTTATCAGCCTTAAAGATCCATTTTATTTTGTTGATCATAAAATCTTATGCAGTATTCCTAAAAGCATAACAAACAGTAAAGTTAGGATTTTACGGGCTCCACTCGAACAATACTAATGGAGTCAGAGCTCATGGAGGGCTGTCATTTGAAGTGTTCATCGAAACTGTCCGCTTTCTTAATTTTAATTCAACTGCCACAAACATACTCTATGACCTTGGGGAAAATTCTAAAATCCGAATCATTTGCTAATTGGGGACATCTGGGGATATGAGAAATATAACGTTTTTGCAAAAGGTATCGCCTTGTGTTTTTACTTACTTACCTTACGCCCTTCGAATACCATTGGTACAACAGGTCCAGATGACATATACGCAATTAGTTTTGGAAAGAATGGAAAAGATTTGAGTGCCTCGTAGTGAATCTGAAGTAGCTGTTCTGAGGCATTCATCATCTTTATTGCAACAAGCTTATAGCCTCGCCTTTCAAATCGTTGTATAATCTCCCCAACAAGACCTCGTTGCACTCCATCAGGTTTGACCATTATGAACGTTCGTTCCATGATATGATGACAACCTCAAGTGAATTCGCGCCCAACTGTTGAACAATAAAAGTGTATTCGAACAAAATCTCGACAATCGTTTATAAACACATTTACATCTTTTGTAATGACTGTAGTAGTTCTTTGCGTTTCAGTTCCATACAATAAAACTGTCTTAACGTTCGTGTTGAAATTTCTGACTTTGATGTTGGTTGACAGTTCTTGATGGGAAATGGATGACTCTGAAACGCAGAACAGTAGGAAAGATAGCCAAAAATAATGCCCGTTTATTTGATAAATCCTTGATGGACTCAATGACTACTCCGCCAAAGGCCCGAAGTAAAGCCTCGTGAATCGCTCGCTCAACTCTCATGACTCTGACGCGCGCTTTTCGAACGGGAAGTTTAGTCCTAACGTGATTTGCATATATCAAACTTTT